CTTGTATTTGAGGTCTTAACCATATCATTAGTGACAACAACAAATCAAGGTTGCTGAATCCCATTCTGATTTATTTTGCTGATGGAGTTAAATAAGAAGTACATAAAACACAATTGAGTCATTTTAAGTCCTCTCTTCAAATCCTAATCATGAATTGCTGCATCTAGATAAAATCTAAACAGAACAAAGCTTTTTCTTTGGTGTAAACAGGGAGATGTACAGAGCAGAGTCCCCACAAACTCCAGTGGAGGTAAATACCTTCACTGCCTATTAGGATTTCTGGTTAGAAATTTGCTCAGTGATATTGGGACTGTGTATGAATGACTACACGGCATCTACTATTAGGAATAACTAGTGCAAGGAAACTAACTACAGCACATGTTATATAGAAAAACACTAGCCTAAGGATTAGAAAGGTCTGACAGTTGCTCAAACAGAAAGGAAGATGGAAATGCTTTGTTTACCTGTGCTGTCAGCTCCCTCTTGGTTGTTAGTGACACTTCTGCAGGGCACACTGGGTCAATCAGCCCTTGCACTTCAAGGCAGCTTGCTTTGTTCATTTTCAAGCACCTACCTGCACAGAAACCAGACTGACTTCTCTAGCTAAGGCATTGCACAAGTCCAGATAATGATTAGACTGTTGGCCCGAAGACCCCATTTGAAGAGGATCTCAAAACTCTCACTCATGAGACACTCTCAAGGGACAAACGAGTACTGCTGTGTGCAGACCACTAGCAGTGTGGCAGAACAGAGCTTGATTTCAGCCCTTCTGATAATAAGTGCAGCACTGCAGCAAGGGGTGTCTGTTGCTGAAGATCTGGAGCTCACCAGAGTACAGCAGGGCACTCCAGCTGTGCAGGAAGGGCAGGATGGCAGTACGAGCAGCCATGCAGGAGAGGTACACGCATCCCTGCTGTGTCAGTCACACCTGAGCTGTAAGTGGTGTGACAGTCTAGGACAGCTGAGCCCTGGCATGGTCTCTGCCATCACACATCATATTACATGTACACCACAAGTAGAGGTTGGAGGGTTATTAGCCCTTGTTATGCCTGTCAAATTAGCCCCACTCTGCACACGTACACAGTACCCTGCAAATATGTGCCTGCTGATCTACACAACTTCATATACCTTTTGCCAGTCACAGGGTGAGTCCTGGCCTAGAGGTCATGTACCCTGCCACAAAGCAGATAAGAAATGTAGCAAGTAGCAGATTTGTTGGATGATCTAGCTGTTCTCCTACCACTAGATGTGGGAGATCATGGATCTCTCCTCTCATCTCACTTTTCCCTGAGTGATACCCAGATGTCTTCCCCTGCAGGGACAAGCCTTTCACCATAAGCAAGTGCACATGAGCCCACATAGCAGGGCTGCACTCCTTGAGCCTGACAAGAGCTGGAGCCTGCAGCTGCATGCAGTGCACATGAGAGGAAGGAAATCCAAGAGAGGTGATCTGCCACATGGCCACTGATCTTCAGATGGTCAGATACCTGAGCACCAGAGAGCAAAGGTTGCAATGCTGGAATGCAGCCAAAGTTAACCTCAAAGTCTTCAGACAGCCAGTGATAGCTCTGTGTCTGTTCAAGAAGTGCTATCATGGACCAGACTAGTCACCAGCTTGCTGGAGGAATGAGCTGTAACTAGTGCCTCTGCCTGTTCCAGAGGATATGTTTGTGGTTAGACAGGCACTGCACATTTGATTATTCCATGTATCTGCTGCAGCAGTCGTTCTAAACCTATTTTCCTTATTTGTTCATTATAGGAAGAAGTCCTTCATTATAGTGACACCTTTGTTGGTCTTTGGATGCAAGAGTTGTCTGGACAGATGTCATTCATCTTGTAATATCTAGTCATGCATATCACAGTTGAAAAGTACTTTCATAGTTTTTAGCTCAGAACAGAATCCACATGTTCTCCTTTTGTGCCTCAGCAGAGATTTACCTGTCTGAGATGCTTGCTGTGGGATCTTGCACATCCCATTTAACACCAATGCTGAGACAAAAAGCATCATATGCCCTGACTTGTTCCTACGCAGGGACTCAGTGCATGATCAGTTGTCTTTATAAAAATTCCCCCTGAACTCTGTCATGAACTGCATATATACCAGATGGGATGCAGCAAAGACAGGATAAATGTAATTTCCATTTCTGAACTATGATTTTGTCTTATCAGGATACCCAGACTCCCAAAATAACAATGAAAAGTAGAGATGGAAACATAGCAAAAGTCACTGCAGAGCATAAACAGTAAAATAAGACAGAAAGGGGCTATGGCTCCCCACTCTGCTCACATCTGTGTGGGAGGCAAAAGCAAACAGACCTTAGCAACAGCACAGCTGTTGTGACAGGCACAAGACAGGTAGACTTTCAGGGAGTTGTTTTTCCACTTAACAAAAATACTTAATTTCAGCCCTGACTCTGCTGCATATACCGGGAGCCTTTCAGTGGTTAGGAGCAGTACAATACAAAGTCCACAGTTCTGTGGTTCTCTGGTACAGTGTGATGAGCACAGGTCCATTGCATTCTCCATTTTGTAAGCCTGCTTCTCAATGTCATCAGGGGCCAGTTGCTGGCAATCCAAATATTTGGATATGAATAAGACAGCAGAAGAGCAGCAATATTATGGTCTTATAACCCTAACTGCAAGTCAGTACTCCATTCAATTCTTAGGTTGTTTTTCATCCTATTAGTCCCTCTCTTCATGAAAATTAGATAAATAATTTTTCTCCTGCTCAAGCATCAACATTCAGATGGTATTAAGGAACAGCAAAACATCAGACAGTGAAGTGCTGCTTTATGCATAGCTTTTTCCATGTAGCCAGCCAGAGCTGACTCATTTTTGAATGTTTATTTGCAGATATTAAAACAAACAGTTGTCTTTAAAATCTCCTGTGAATCCCTCTGTCACTTTCTTCTCCTTGTAATCCCAAACTGAAGCAATGAAAAGAAGGTTATCATTAGATCATCCGTAAAACATCATCTTCTGTTCAGCTTTTACTGTGGGGTACAAGAGATACTAAGAGTATCATATAGAGAGTACAATGGCTCTTATGCCCTGCAAAACAGACAAGCAGTTTTGCACAGAGCAGTGAGGACAACTCCTGTATGTGCAAACAATAAATTTAAGGTACATGCATGAAAAGTAAAATGTGCTCTTTATGTTGTTGATCGCTTCTGTTATTTTTCAGAGTTTTTTGTTGGTTAGTTAGTTTTACTTATGCTTAGTGAAACACTTCCTTTCTGCTCTTCAAAAGCAGAATAGCTCGGGTCCTGCTGGCCACAACAGGAATAGGACTGGATCCAGATTCCCAACAGTTGTAGCAAAGGTACCATAGAACAATCCTTATTCCTAGACCTGCAGTGTGCTTACAGATCAAAGATGCATTTTAATCCTGATCAGTGTACTTTAATGTATGAATAGATTAGTTAGTATCAGAAAACTTCTAGAAAAAAACAGGCTGCCAAAAGGAGTTACGTTAAACTTATATGTCATTATCCATACCTTGTCCCCTGTCTAGAATTACTTTTTTTTTTTTTTTTTTTTTCCCAAGCACAACATTTAATAAAAGTAGATGTCTGGGCAGAAATACGCTCTGTCACTCTGTCTAGATATTTCATTCTCCTCTGGAGCAACAGCACTCTGGCAACAAGTAAAATTTCCCCATTTAGTTATACGAGTGCCAGTTAAGAGTTAATGAAGCTACATCAGTGTAAAAATTAGAAACACAATGAAGAATAAGATCCCTTATCGCTACTTAAACCACTAAGCTGAACACCTGTACTGTCTCTGCGCTTTCAAAATAAATGTATTTTATTTCAGAAAATTACAGTAGCACTTTGTACATACCAGTCACAAAATTATTAATCTTGTATAAATCTTGATATTTCTACTTGTAAATACTTGCAAACATTTGGGGAATTGTAACCTGTGGTAGCAAACTGAGATCTTGTTTCTGGAGGTTCTCTGTGGTTTTCAGATCTGGTACAAGTGAATCACCTTTTTTCATGAGCTTCCTTCCCAAATTGTCTACTTAGCAAACAAAATGTCTCTGGATAGGGAGTCCCAAATGTGCTGTTTTTAACAGATATTTTCATTTTAATACACATATGCTGAACATTGTATCAATGTGTAAAGTCATAAATTAGCTGGGGAAAGCTTTGAAATAGAGTTTACATCTTGAAATAGAGTGAATCTGTCTGTTAATTCGCATCACAAAGAACAGTCCTTTGTACTGACAGGCTGAAAGAAAGTCCCACCAGAGTGTGCAACGAGACATTCACTGTAATATTCTCTGTGTTACTGCCTTAATCCTGCAGCAGACAAAGTCATTCGAAGTTCTATATAGCAGCCAAAATGTCTATCCATGGCTAGTTTGAGAGACTTAAGTATTAGTGTCAGAGGTACTACTCCTCTTTGAATCCTGATTTTCACCAAGCTGAGTACTACTTGAGGCAAAAGTCCCATGAATGTCTGCAGCTGAGCTCTGAAAAAAATAAATAATAATAATAATAAAAAAAATCACGAAATCTGTGAATAATTAGCCACTTAGAAATCGCTGAATAAATTTCAAACAAAAGCAAGTACATTTTAAAGGTTCTGTTTTGGCTCAGTGCATGATACATGGATGAGAAGATGGGACTGAGGATCATACTATTCACCCTGCTTAACTTGTACTGTGACCTTGGACATGGGAAAGAGGTGGGATTTGATCCCAAGACAGCAAATACTATTTTTCTCTGAAAAGCATTTGCTCTCTTGTGGGGGAGGAAAGTTTTCGTTCGTTAAAACAGGTAACTTCCTTTGCCTGCCCCAGGCTGAGTTGCGCTTGGCATTCAGAGGCATGACTCAAAATGAAGGAGAGGGTCCTGTGAAAGGCAGCTGCCTACTCTACAAGTCAGTTCATGCAAGCAGGTCCGCTGGCATTTGGTGCTGACCCTATTTGCTTTCTGTAATTTGTATTTGCCCCGAGATATTGTGCCAACGCTAAATCTCCCTTCTCTCAGGAAGCCATTACCAGCGAGGCAAACGGAGGAAAGGTGTGAGCCGGACCCTGCCGGCCGTACCGGCTCGAAATCGGCCGTACCCCACTGGGGGCCAGCCGCCCGCCGAGCCGCTCCCGGAGCCGCGGTGCACCCGGAGGCCCGGCCCTGAGCCCGGCGGAGCCGCAGGGCAGTCCCGCAGCGCCCCGTACCCCGTGTACGACTGCTCCACCTCGCAGTGCGTAGGAAGGTTCCCTTCAGTAGCCTCCTCTTCAAAGATTTTTATTTGCCGCCTCCGCTGTTTCCCTCTAGCCGGCACTCTTGGCAGCTGCTGTCAATTCGCGCGAAAGCACGGCGGGCCCCGGCCCGGGGAGCACACACCTCATCCCGACGGACGCCGAGGGCAGCGGCATCCCGACCGCGCCCGGCGGAGCGCCGCCGCCGAGCCCCACGCTCGCGTCCCGCCAGGGCACCGACCCTCATCGCGGAAAGCGGAGGCGGGGGCTCCGCGGAGGGACCGGAGCCGTGCGGGGCCGGGGGGCACGGCAGGGTGCGTGCAGCACCGCGCACACGCTGCCCGCGCTGCCGCCGGGGCGGAGCTGCGGCCCCTTCGCGAAGCGTGGAGCGCAAGACGGCTCGGAGCCAGCCGGAGGGTTCGCTGCTCCCACAGCACCCGCCTGGGGCCCTGGCGCCCCCCAAAGCCGCCCTCCTGGGCTTCGCTGCGGGGACCCGCCGAGGCGCCCTGCCCCGGCCGCTCCTCGGTGGCCACGGTAGCGGGGAGCCGAGGCGACGGGCGGCGTCGGGGTGACCCCTGGCCGGCCCCCGCAGCCCTCCTGCTGCCGTTGCCCCTCGGACGTGTCGCAGGAGCCCGGAGCAGGGGTAGCTGCCGCGCGGCCTCTCCCTCGCAGAGGGGTGAGGGAGAAGAAAGGGGCTCTGTCCTCACCGGCGGCGACCGAGGTAGCCGAGAAGCTCCGGCGGGCCCCCTCCGCCCCTCGGCACACGCGTTTCCATTTGACGGCCCAGGTCTCCTGCCAGAGAGCAGTGTTTATTCATTACATAAACAGAAGTGAAAGGAATTAAGCGGGTAGATGTGATAGCTCAGGGGTACCTTTCAGGCTCTTCAGCATAGATTTTCTACGCTTGTAGAAAACAGGACATCCTTACAACCGAAAACAGGCAGTAAGTTTTGTAGCTGTGTATTCATAGACAGCCAACGATGGTTTCCATTTAGGTTCTGCCCTACAGCATGCTAAGGGCAAAGAGCTCTTTTACATAATGTGATCACTGTTACAATTTCCTCTGTCCCTGGCACTTTCCCTAAATGAATGACAGCATGACACAATTAGCACGGATGCTTAAAAGGTCAGCTTATAGATAAAGGTTTTCACTGCAATTTCAAGAATGCATAGGTGCAACACCTAATTTGAACATGCATAGGTTTCATCCAGGTAGTCTGTTCATGGTGTGGAAATCAAATACACAATAGTGAGACCTAAGTAAATGAGGCAAAGCTATTGCAGTTACACTCTGGGGTGCCAGAACGACTCCCTACACTTACTTCTGCTGTGCAAGGGCCACTTCTCTAAAACGATGCAGGGCTGCATCCCAATACCTCCCTTCTTGCTGTTTGCCTCCCCTGCCTCCATGTTTCTACAGGGGAAGAAAAGAAAAGAAAATGGAAGAAAGGGAAGAAAGAGAGGAAGTGAGGAAGAAAAAGCTTTGCATCAAGTTCCGGACATTGGCACAAGAACCGCCAGCTCACACATTCGATTAGGACACAGAGACATTTCCCTCTGACTGACTTGGTCATTCCCAACTAAGCAACACGGAGCTCCACACTGGAACAGTCATGAGCAAAAGCCACATGTGTACAGCTTCAGAAGATACTGGACCCACAAACTGAAGACAGAGAGCCTGGCCCAATAAAAGTGCATTACACAGATTTAGATTTGGAAAACAAGTTATTGTTAAGAGACTGGGCTGGTTTACCCCTCACTAAACCAGCCCAGAAGCAAGAATTCAGGACTAGTCCAAACCCTGCAGCTTTCACCAATGGCTGGAGCCAGTGGGGATGCAAACTCACAAAGAGCAAGCCCGAGCATGCTGGCTTGATTCCACTGCCTGTCTGCTGCAGCCCTCAGAGGCCCCCGCAACCCAGGGGGCTGTGGTCTACAGATGGAAAACCTCTGGATACTGGCAGGTGTGCAAGTATCAAAGTACGTATAAGAGGATGGCTGAGACAGGAGAGGGGAGCGTGCATGGAAGTGAACTTTGTCCCGCATAGCTGTCAGGCTCTCCTCTCCGATCTGTCTCTCCTGCCAGACAGCTGCTGGCAAATGAAGTGACCACATGGCCCCACGGTTGCACAAGGAGCAAACCGCACAGAGCCAGAGCAGAACGCGCAGTCCCTCCTCCTTGCCTCACCCGAGCCTCCCTCCGGGAGCACGGAGAGACCTGGAGGTCCATAAACGAACGGGGAGGTGAGACTGCGAGATGAGGGCACGCAGCCGTCGGGCGGGCTGCGGAACCTCATTGCCGCTGCCAGCGCAGGACAGGCTCGGGGCAGGTGGCGGGGAGGCCGCGACCGGCGGGGTTCCGCCGGGACAGCGCCCGGCCCGCTGGGGGCGGCGAGGCAGCGCGGAGCGGTGCCGCCGCCAGGCTGGGCAGAGGTGGGCTGCGGGGAGGGCGGCGCGGTCGCAGCTGCGCTACCGGGGCGCAGTCGCTCCCTCGCAAGCCGTGCGAAACGCCGCGAACGGAACGCTTGTCCCGCCGTGTCCCGCGAGCCTCCGCGCCCCCGGCCGGCACCTCCTGCAGCACATCCTTAGCAGAGGCGTAGTTGGAGGAGCGCGGGTCCGCCGCCCGCCGTCGTTTTCGGGGACCCCCGGGGCAGGGGACGGCGCTGAGGCAGCCGCAGGGCGGTATCGCCCCGGCGGCGAGAACGGACCGTGCGCGACGGGACTAGCGGGGGTGGGCGGCCCAGCTTTACCGCAGCTTAGTTTCAGCGCCCGCTTTTCGTAAACTGACCGCGATGCCATTTTTAATTTCTCAGCAGCCCGACTTTTTCGCGGGAGAGGAAGTTTCGCTAGAGCGCCCTTCAGAGAGAAGCATCCAGCATCTGCGCTACGGTGCAGTCTGAGATTAAGAAGCCCATGTGCCAATACCCTCTCGTTAAAACCACCCTTATTCTCCGCGTTCAGCATTTTCTTCGTGCTGCGCCTTGCTGTCAGATATTTAAGAGATCTCTCCTGCGTGTAACTGATTAGCACTCTCCCCCACACACATCCTCGCATTACTTGTGAGAGAGAGGAATCAGAAACAGGCGCAGTCCCCCCGTCGGAGAGTCCCGTGGGAGTCCTCCACTCCTTCTCGCTCCGCGCACAGAAGCCCGCGCTCCCTCCCGGCGCTCTCCAGCGCTCGGCTCTGCTCGCAGCCTCGACAGGACAAGGCTGAGGCCGCCCCGCCCGGCCCAGCCGCGACGGACTGTCTGCCCCCGGCAAGTTCCCTTCCTGTCCCGTCTCTCCCTGCTGACAGCCCGTCGACGAACCTGCCGCCCCTGCGGCGCTTCAGCTGGTTCCCACGCGTGGGGCCCGCGGGGCGCTGAGAGGCGCGATTAAAGCACCATCCGAGCCGTGCCTCCCTCCGATGTGCATGGAGCACAAGGGAGACGAGGGCGCGCAGAAGCTGGCGATTCACTAAACTCTGTGTATCTACGTGCTTTCATCTTCTCAGAAACGATGCTGTGCTAGGAATATTCACTAAAATAGCGAGGGCGCGTAACTGTGAAATGGTGAAGTTTTAGACTGGACTTTGGAAAGGTAGGGGACAAAAGCGTACAGGCGAAGCACGGGTGGAGTCCGGATAGCCAAGCCCATGCGCTGTCCGCGTCCATCCCCATGTACACACTAGCATTTCTGACCTCTTCTCGGAAAGAACTCTTCTCTCCAACAAGCTCGGCAAATACATTCCCTTCTTGCGAAGCACCCCCAGCCATAGCAATACCCAAGCTCCGCTACCTGTCTCCGCAAGGCGCGTTATCCTCCTGTCCCTCCGTGGCTCCTGCGCCGCCAGGGCCTCCGGGGCCGCCGACCCAGCCGGCCTCGGGACGGAGGATTCGGCCCGCGGCTTCGCGCAGCCCTCGGGGCGGTCCTGGGCGAGCCCCCCGAGCCCCGCACCCCAGCGCGGGAGCGGCGGGTCCGCGGCAGCGGCAGGGACCGAGGATGTGGGCGGGGGGCTGCCGCAGGGAGCTGGGCGGGGGGGCCGCCAGTGCATCCGCGGCTTTCCCCATCGCCCGCTCTAACCCTAACCCTAACCCTAATGGCGGAGCCAGGCACCGAAAACAAGAAACACTGAGAAATCTCCCGTACACTCTGTTTTTACTCCAGACACACGATTTACTGCTGCACGTTTGCTATTCCCGCGGGGAACAACGCCCGTATTGATTTTGTTGTCTCCGACTGCTATATTTGTCTTGGAGAAAAGGTGTACGCATATAGAAAAGGTGTTGTTTTATCGAAATCTAATATTCAGCCGTCCGCGAAACGCGCACAAGCACTCTGAAATAGCGCGGGGAAAGGACCGACGCGCAATAAACGGCGCTGCTCCGGCCCTGCAGCGGGGCAGGTCTCGGGGTTGCACGCCGGCACTACCCAGGCCTCTCTATCCCGTTTCCTCCACGGCACATTTCTTTGGATGCCCCCAGACCAGACGATCGTTTTCTGTTGCGCCGTCTAGAACGGACGATAGCTCTAATGCCGTACCTCTGCTGGTCACGGACGGAGAGAGCCGCGGAGAGCGGGTCCCCGCGGGCTCCGTCCTGACTGCGGCTGCGGGCCGAGCCCGACGCGGGCGAGCTCGTCTCCCGGCCGGAGCCCGCGAGGCACTCGTCTCCGCAGCACTCGGCCAGCGGCAGCCCAGGTCGTTCCGCCGCGGACGGGGAGCAGAGGGGGCCTCGCGGGAGTCCCGAGAGGAAACCACTGTGCGTGGCTCCCGGGCTGGGACCGGGCAGCTCCGCTGCGCGCCCCGATTCCGATTCGCAGCGGCGATTCCCGGGGAAGAGGAAAGCTTCCGGCAGCCGGGGTCCCCGCACGTCGCCCTGCGGTGCTGTGCCGGTCACATCGCGGCGGCGCGGGCCCTCGAGATCCCCCCGCCATCCGGTCGGCGCGACGGGCACACGGCGGCCCGGGCTGGGGGACGGCATGGGCAGCAGCCTGAGCCCCACGGGGAGATGCCCGTAAGCCGTTTCCAGACGAGCGAGGAGGGCCGGGCTGGGGCGTCCCGGGACTGACAGGGTCCCCCGTCCGCCAGCGAGGACACTCGGGGACCCGACGGGCGCGTCGGACCCTCCCGCTCGGCGTGCCCGGGGCGGGGAGCGGGAACGGAGCGGGAACGGAGCGCGCCCGCGCCCAGCCCCGGCCGAGACAGCCAGCTCCGCCGCCCCTGCGACTGGGCTGGCTTCCGTCGCGCCATCCTAAACCTCGTCGTAGCCAGAAAAGAGCGCTACTTGCCTGCCAGTCTGAAAGACTTTGTTGCGGCAGCAGCTGTTAGGGATCCTAAGACTAAATTTAAGCGAGACTCGGTCTAGGGTCAGATCAGTTTTAGCTCTGGGCAAACGAGAGACTTACTAGGGACGTTCACTAAGGCTCGGCGCCGCCACGCAGTCAACTACAGTCGTACAGATTCCAGATTCGGGGCCTAGAATTTGAAACAAAAATTTCGGGGGGTGGGGGGAAGAGCAAGTATTACGGGGTTAGTCCTTTCCTACAACGTTTCAAAAGCAGAATTCTGTTTTATCAAACTTAGTATTTCCAACCGTCCGGGCAGCTTGGTTTATGGAAACGTCACAAAATGTCTCACATCTATCGTCAGAGCAAAAACAAAAAGAGAGGGAGAAAAGGGTGGAAACATAACGAGAAGTTTAATTAAAAACACCTGTCTAGTTAAGTACGTGCAGAGAAGCAGATACCCCGAATATTTACCTCACCTGCGATGGACAAGCTGTTGCTTTATTCCCCTGAAACGTCCCGAGTACGCTAGCAGTATTTGGTTTGGGGGGGTGGGAGGGGGACGACACGACACGACACACACTCTCTGTGGGGAATGTGTACGCGGAAAAAGCATACAAGTAACCCACAAGTAACCCCCTCCGCTAAGAAAAATGTTCTAGTTCTCCGGAGAGATGTGAACAGCCGGCTCCTAGAAGCCTCTGTCCACAGCGTGAACAAAGACACGGATGTTAATTAGCAACATCCGTGATCTTTGAGGCTTAATTTCAGAACCGGAGTAATGCTACAGCCTTTGGCCAGCTCAGATGTTCTCTCTTTAGCTTAATGAGAAAGGTTTTGTAATGGGACCTTGGAAACGCAGAGAAGTGTAGAAACAGCAAAACAGATTTAGGAGTTGTGAGCCTCTCTAAGCTATACGAATGCGATCGGGCTTTAGGTTTCAGCAGGACGGAAAAACCTTTCCCGTTCACACGTAGCCTTTCTGTCGCGTTTTTCTTTGCTAATACGGAGAGAGATGTAACTCGAATCTTTGTTTAGACTGGAGGGAGAGAGAAGCCGCAGCAAACGCTGAAGAGAAACGGGAGGGGCGGGGGTGTCCTCTGGTGTTTTTTCTTTTTCTTTTTTTCTTTTTTTTTTTTTGGCTGGCTGAACAAAACCTGGCGCGGGCTCTCTGGTGCAGATAACGATCTCGCTCTGTTCAGAAGGCGGGTTTTGCGCAGGAGGTGAGGCCAGCGAACCCGCGGAAGGCAGGTCCCCGCGCGGCAGGGTCCACCCCCTTGAAAACAAAACTTTTTTTCCTGCAGGCGCTGAGAGCAGAGACCCGGAGCAGGGTCCCCGGAGCAGCCTCATCGCGCCCCCGCCGCGGAGCTGGTATGCGGTAGGGTAGTGCCATGTATTGGAAGAGCGACCCGATGTTCGTGTGCAGGCTGGATGACAAGGATCTTCCTGCGCTCGGCGGCCCCTCGGAGAAGGTGAGCGGGGCGGCGGCGCAGAGGGAGCGGGCGGCGGTCGCCCGGCGGGGGCTGCACGGAAGCGAGCGCGGCGCCGGTGCCCGGTGCGGGGCGGGTCCCAGGCGGGAGCCCCGTGCCGGCTGGCGGGTTCCGCCTCTCCCTGCTCGAGTCTGGGGGTCCCGGGACCGCCGGCTGCGCCTGCTTGGCGGAGAAGCGCTGGCTCCCGCCGCGACCGTCAGCGGAGAGGCTCCGGTCGGGCCCTGCAGGTGCTCGCATACGTGCGGGCCGGGACGGCCGGAGCTCCCCGCCTCTGCCGGGCGAGACTGGCCGCCGCCGGCGCTGACAGCGGTCTCCCGTGCGCTCCCCCGTAGGCGAGCCCCGCGGCGGCCGACGAGGACTCCTGCTCTTCCTCCGCCGCGCTGTCGCCCTCCTCCTCGCCACGGTCCATGGCCTCGGGCTCCGGCTGCGCCCCCAACAAGTGCGTGTGCAGCAGCTGCGGCCTGGAGATCGTGGACAAATACCTGCTGAAGGTAAGAGCGCCCGCCGGCCCCTGCCCTTCGGGCGGGGGTTCCGGCCTGACCTGAGACTGCAGCGTCTATACCGAGACCCGCGCCGCCCCTCCGTCGGCACGGGGCCGCGGCCGCGGAGGCCGAGCCCGCGGGGGCCGGGCGAAGCCCCGTGCCCGGCTGCCCTCGGCCGGGGGGAGCGCGGCGTCCGCCCCCGGGCGGTGCGGGGAGAAGCTCGGCCGGGCCGCGGCGGGCGGCGCTCGGGACGGCGGAGCCTGGCGCGGCAGCGGCGTCCGGCGCCTCGAAGCCGTGCTGGCTCCCGGCACGCATGAAGATCCTCGGAAACCGAGCTCAACGAGAAAACGCGACAGCGCTGCGAGCGGATAAACGAGCTCCAAGGAAACATGCCCCCTTTCTCTCGCTTGTCTCCGAACCGCTTCCCTTCGTCGCTGTTACTTTGGCAGTTAGCATCCGTAACGTTTAGCACGTTATTTTGGCTGCAGCCGAGACCGTATGCCCTTCGGCTTGCAGATGTGAGTAGAACTACTGCAGAAACGGCACTTAATGCCATGAAGCTAACTGCACACGTCTGTGAGGTTTGGGCCTTTCAGGAAAGCTGAAGTGGTATTTATGTTTTGATAACAGTTTTCTGTTTTGGGGCCGCTTTTTCTCGTGTTCTCTATGAGGAGCGTGAAAGAACACTGTTCAGTACATGGTTAAGTTTCTGGTTGTGCTTTATGCTCCCGATTAAGCAGTGGTAGCACGACCCATTTTTTATTAGCTATTTTATAATATTTTTTTTTTAGTGTGATGCTATGAATCTAAAGGCAAAAAGTACCTATTCAGAAGCGTGGAAGTGAGCTACTCCTCTAAAACGTGTTCTACTAATATCTGTAGAAGAAGGAAATCTGTGTGATTGCAGAGCAGTTTTGCTAGTCTTAGCATTCAGGACTGAGCAAGATTATTTAAAATCGAAAACGTGGTGGTCTCTAAGTATAAAATTTAAGGCAGTTGGGAGGTGGCTATTTTCCTCTAGAATTCCAGCCATTAGTTTTCCTGGATCAGAGTCTTGCCTCTCCACTTTCAAAAGTGAGATTAGAAAATTCTTCTTTCAGTCACTTGATTGTAATAGGTGAAGCTTTAAACGAAGTCATATATCCTGCAAAGAGAAAGTTGATAGCACCACTGAAAACATCAAAATAATCTGTTTAGATCATTTGCTTTAGATCTCAGTGGTGATAAGAAGGTCAAAGGAACGTGTATGTCAGGTTGGCATTCATTTAAAACAAGGTTGTTGCAGTTCAGGAAAGCTGTATATCATTTGTGCTAGTAAACCCCAGTCACCGTTGCATTAGGCTGGTTTTGCACACGAAGTGTGCTGTGGAACTGGGAGCAGAGCTGACAGAAATTGGTTCTGGTCGCATTAACTCCAGTGATATTTAGGTAGGTCATTTACATCACTGTTTACATCACTGTCTTCTGCCTGAAAAACTGGGATAGTGTGGCTTGGAGAGAAAGATTTCTAAATGATTATTTAGACTTCAAACTTTATTCCCTTCTGTATATAGGTGGTAAAAGAAATCTGTGGTGGGAGCCTGGTAATCTTGCTGATCAGCAGCAGCGTGTATTCTAATTTCAGCCCTATAAATTAACAAATAAGAAGGTAGAAGGATGACATCAACCTGGGCATGTAACAAAGCTACTGATTTCTTCTATGGAAGAGCATTAGCCTCTCAAGAGCAGTCAGTGCAACGAGCTTTGTCTTGTGGGATGTCAGCTTGTGCCTTGCACCGCTGATGCTGCACGGAGCTGTGTGCCAGCAGCCTGGCTGTGCATGGGATCCCGTTGCCTTCTCTAGGGATCCTGGTGTGGGCTGTAGTGGGCGTCGCCTGGCAAGTCTTTGTGTGCAGAAGCACTGGGTGGGCTTGGTCTGGCCCAAAAGCTGCTGTCCTGTGTCTGTCTGCAGTGCATCCATTTTAAAGAATAGTTGTGAGGCTCAATTTGGTGACAGCTGTTATCAACAGTTTCACATTATACTGTGGTGAAAATTTGTCAGTCTATGAAAATATGGCTGCCAACAAGAATAAATCTTGTGGGAGCATTGAGCAGCTGCAAGATGTAATATTAAAACCTCAAGAATGGCTGAAATAGACTTTTCCAGCCTGATCTGTAAGATTTGATACCTTACTTTCTCTTTCTCTGTGGCTTGTCTGGCAGCATTTTTATGAAAGGAACATCCTGGATTATCTCAAATCTGCTGTTTTGCCATTCACAGTATATGGGCTGAAGTTCTTAATGTTTGCTATAGGATGAGAAATGGACACAGGACACTTAAAAAATGAAAATTCATATATCTCAACTTTCTGGTTGCTTGCTTTATGTAATTTCTCCTATAAAATCTAGAATTATATAAACACCTACTACTTAACTTCTGTGGTCAGTGGGAGTCTTAGGTTTTCAAATCACGTTATTTAGCTGGTGTGTAATGCACAACATGTTCATGACAAAGAATTTTCTTTATAAGAATGAAGAAATGAAAATTCCACATAAATTATTTGCCCAAAACTTATACATGGCTTTTCAAAACTCCTGATTGGCTACTGCTTTCCATGACTATAACTAATTTCACTGCGGACATTACATCTTAAACAATTGTTGAATTTGCTATAAAAAAAAAACTGCTGATGTGTTGAAGCTCTTCAATCCATTCCCTAACTTAGCTTTATCAGAAATTGGCAATTGATGATATGGTGTATTTCTACTTGACAGACCATGTTGTTTCGGTTTTGCTTCGGTACTTTCATTTTAAAATTTCAAATCACTTTGCAAAGTTTGTTATTTGTTAAGCAGGAGTTTCTGCTGACTGGGAAATAGGAGCGTGTAAATTAGCAGTAAGGTCATGTGAGGCCAAAACTTGCTCTGTTACTGTAATACTGAGAACAGAACTGGTCACAAAATACCTGTGTAGAACTTGAATCTCTTGCTTCCTCTTCCTGTGCTTTTAATTACAAAGCCATGAAAGCATTTTCTGAAGACCTTTGTCAAATTCATTAGCCCCTAATATGCATGCAGTTCTATAGGCAGTTTTGCCTTGAAGATAAATTTTCTGTGAATCACAATATTTGTTGTTTATAGTTTTTTCTGTTTGTATGAAAAAAGAGAAAAAGGCCTTCTGCCACTACTATTAGTGTTTTGTATTTACAAACTGAAAGGCATCTTTCTTTTGGTGTTCTTGCAGGTAAACGACCTCTGCTGGCATGTGCGCTGTCTCTCATGCAGTGTCTGCAGAACGTCTCTAGGAAGGCATACCAGCTGTTACATCAAAGATAAAGATATCTTCTGCAAACTTGATTATTTCAGGTATATCATGTAGCAATATAATTTTGTTAGATAAAATATCACACTTCCTTGTCAGGTTTTGCTTTGTCTGTAACTAAAATGTGTGTTTAGACTATCTTTATATGCATTTTTTTTTCTTGTTGCCAGTTTAAGTAATTGAACTACTGAGTTGGTCTTTTGTTTGTTTGTTTTGTAGAGGGATTTGGGAAACCCCCAGTCTGCCTGATGTACCTACATACCAAGTCCTTTTTTTTTTTTCCTTTAAGTTATGCCTAGCTACTGCATTTATAGAATAATTTACCTCTGTACGCAAGGAGGGTGGAAATGTTAGTCAAAGTCCCTATCAAAATAAAGTTGTAAATCTATCATGTGCAATGTAAAAATTGTGTAAACGTGTAAATCTATCATAGCATTACCTAAGGGCGATTGAGAATACAAGGTAGAGTTGAGATGGTTTTCTGTTTGGACTATCGCTCTCACTAGTATAAGACATAGGATATCCCATGGAAATACTAAAACAACCCGAAATAAATCTCTAAATCTTTAAGATGGTTGCAGCAGTTATACCTTTCTATGATCAATTTGATTTAAATGTGAAATGCTCTTCAAGATTAATTTCTGATCATGTAAGGAAGAATATTATTAACTCTGGCTAGCATTAAAAGACTTTCTGGCCCCAGTACTTAAGACATCAAATGTTCAGTTCAGTAAGCAGGGAAAAAAAAAATTGCTGTTAATTTTGGTGTGACCGCTAGTACTTTCCCATACCAAAATATTTATGGGATTCTTACCTGTGTAGTGAATGGATTATGGTCAGTTTTGACATGGAGGGAGGGAGCAGGTTGAGTACTGCAGGCATTTGGAAGAACAAAATACATTTTGTGGGACTTAAAATCTTTGCAGACTTTTTTTTTTTTTTTTTCAGAATGCTTATACATAATTCAACATATCCTGGTTGCTAGTTTTCTCTTGAAAGAGCAATATTCTACAGTAGCGATGTAAATATTTGTCCATATTTGAATTTCTTTTAAGGATGAAAAATCATAAACATGATGGTAATTAAGGAAATGACTCTGGAGATGTAGGGTCTCCCCCTTTTGCTAAAAGGGTCAAAATGATTAGTGAAGGATGATACAGCTAAATTATTTACACATTACAGTAATGTGAAATATATTTGAATAAATGGGAGGATTTTGAATGTGAGGTCTGCTGTTTTTATCTCCCACTGACAGCTTTTGAAAGAGATTGTTTTTGTAAAAGGAAAGATGAAGTTTGAATTCATTTTATAGCTTAGATGTTTTGCTCTTTGCCTTAAGGAAATCATTAACTTCTGAAGTTCAGTAGTAGTCTTGCCTTAAGATTGCACATACAGACTTGTTGATTTTGTTGCAGTTAAAATGCAGTTATGTAGTCCTCCTAGTTCTGTGTGGTCAATGTACTTGGTGTGGATCTCAGCTGAACTTCCACATCACATAGACACTGACACTCCTGGGGTGACTGTTTTGCCCAAGATGGTTAGTGTCTGAGATTTTAGCCTTCTGTTGGCCTTTGTTTGCAGGCGGTATGGCACCCGCTGTTCCCGCTGTGGGAGGCACATTCATTCTACTGACTGGGTCCGGAGGGCTAAAGGAAATGTATATCACTTGGCGTGTTTTGCCTGCTTCTCCTGCAAAAGACAACTTTCTACTGGAGAGGAATTTGCTTTGGTCGAAGAGAAAGTCCTTTGTAGAGTACATTATGACTGCATGTTGGACAATCTGAAAAGAGAAGTTGAAAATGGTAACATCCAGCTTTTAAGAACTGTTTGTGGCTTATTTTTAATTAAATTGTTGGGTTTTACTTCATCTTCCTTATTAAAAGAGGTAATTATCTAGCTTTACAAAGGCTGGAAGCACAGGTTCTTGAATTAAAATAATGTGCAAATTATTTGATGTATAAAAGTTATTTTTTTCTTTTTGTTTTGAGTTTGTGTAACTTGTTTCTTATCCCAAGGAAGAGAAAGTAAAGCATGTCTCACTGATAAAATGTCGTGTGGGTTCTATCCCTTCCATTTTTTGCAAGGGAGTTAATTGGGGTGTTATGGGTGATGGTGCCAGATCAATTTAATTTGAGCAAAACAATTTTTTTTCAAGATGAAATTCAGCTGGTGAGCTACTGTTAGTTACTGTTGGAGGACAGTCTGATTTATGAACAACATAATTTGAATGCTCAGGATACAACAGCATTGTTTTCTTTTTAATGCTTCAGGTAATGGGATTAATGTGGAAGGAGCATTGCTAACAGAACAGGATGTTAATCATCCAAAGCCAGCAAAAAGAGCTCGGACCAGCTTCACAGCAGATCAACTCCAGGTAAATGCAGTGCTAAAAACTTGAGTATTTCAGATTTATGCAGGACATAACTCCTGAACTGATAGGAAGACAGATGTGAGGGGAGGTGGGGAGGAGAGAGAGGTTTGTATGCTTTAAACTATTTCATAAACTATCAAGACAGAGCATGTTTCTGGAATAGTTTGTCAGTTTCAATGGTTTCATATGAAATAGTTATCCTTCAAGCTTTTTTTTTTTTTCTCCCCTGAGGGCAGCTGGTAATCCTGCAGAGTGGAAACAAAAAGGTTGATTTTTTGATTGCTTGGTTTACATCTATTTGATCAGACATTTACATCACTACACATAATGGAGAATATTTTTAGAATTACATAGCATCAAGAGTTATGCTAGAGATGGGTACTGTATGACTTAAAGACATTAAGAGGCAAGAAACCTGGATTTTGTTGTGTACAATAAAGACCGTAAAAGTGTGTGTTCTCAAAATGGGTAAGTATTCTGGGTTCCTGCTGATATTCATGTGAACACAGCTCAAGTCTTGTCAATTAAATTTTTCTTGTTTCTCTTTGGTTTATAAAGAAGATGAGCAGTAGTTGTCATTTCTCATCACCGTTGTTTCATCTAAAGCATAATTCAGCATCTAATTCATGTCAATACTTGCTTTTTAGATCACATTACAGTCTTGGCTATATTTATATGCACTAGCAAGATAGACTATCAATAGGGACTCATCCTTGCTCTCCTTCCTTCTCTTCCCCTTCTCTCAGCCTTTACAAAATGCTTCACAGGCATACTAATTCTCAAAGTATCTTTTGAGCTTTGCTGCTGCCTGTTAAAACATACTCTGTAGTCTTGGTGTCATGTTTCAAGAGCCTAGCTTTGGTATTTAATGCTGCATTTTTTTTTTCTTTTTTTTGGGGGGAGTGGGGGGAACAGGGGACTTTTTCACAGAACTGGGTGGAGTAAAATACAGGAAAAGTGTATTTAAAGTTCTTGGCAGCAGTTCTCTTACTGTCTAATTTGTTCTTGATCATGCATTATTGAAACACATTTTTTCAATATCTCATTGTACTAGCTCAACCACTAGTTATATTCCTTTCCATTGTCAAGATGAAAGGGAAGTGGGAGCCTAGGAAGTCTGAAAGTATCAAATAAAAACTCCTTGTAGGGTCAAGCCTGCCCTGAAGGGGGAGGGATGGGGACTGCCTGCATCTGCTCTGCTTTCAAGGCTTTTTATTGTTGCTATCTTGGCAAGAGTTAGCTCTGGACTGCCTCAAATATGAGTAATTTCTCCCTCTGGATCACCAGCTCACTAAATTAGAAAAACACCATGACCAGGGCCATGACCAGCTCCCTATGAAAAGGGTAGTAGTGAGACCAGACTTAGAGGCTTCAACCTGTAGTGGGAAAGAAGCTACAACATTCTCCCTAATTCTAGCTACACATCCCCACATTCAGTTTATAACGTAGCTTCAGCAAGTTTCTGGATGCACACTGCCACTACACTACCATTGTGGTTTGTTTTTTTTTTTTTGGTGTCTCAGTCTAAGTTCTATCTTGTCAGCCTGTCCTCCTCTTGTCCATGGTAAAAACAGTTGAGGGAAACTAAGCAGAGATATAATAACATGTGCATCATTTAAGCACCACTGTATAACAAGAAGTGGCTGTTCAAAGCTTGGTTTGCTATTTCACCCATGACCTGAGACAAGGGCATAAAAAAAAAAAAAAACGAAAAGGGCATAAGGCAAGGATGTAAAGCTTGAACTTCTGCAGAAGGGGGTCTGTCTTTTCCAGCACCAACTGAATGGGAAATAGTTCCAACTGATTGAACAGGAACTGTATTTGGGGCTCCTCCTGGTTTGACATCAATGAAACTTTCATGTTCTCTTTTCCTGTTTTAAATAGATTGTTACCTACTTCAGTGCATGTGTGATCTTGTAAGGCTTCTTGTTTTAAGACACTTGCTGTCTGTTCAGTGCCTCAGTCTCTGTACCTTTCCTTGATATAAGACTTGATTTCCAGTAAGAGAAGTATCAGAGGAAAGAGCCACTGTCAGAGTGGCAGCGTGTAATAGTATGCTTTGTGAAGTATTCCGTGTTCAAAAGGGTATCTGTGCTCTTTGTCTTTGTATGGAATTCAGTTGGAAAGTAAATAGTTCCAACACTTCTGAACGTGAAGAGTAGTAGTAGTCTGAATCCTTCAAATAAGCAGAATATGCAGACCATCAAGGGACAAGATACAGAAATGAGAGACTAGTTTACCAAGTTGCTAAAGAAATCCCACAGAAATATAAGTCTTACTTCCTTAAATAAGGTAAACTCTTACAGGCTTCAGAGTTGTTCAGGATGCAGGCCAGGTTGACATCTCTGCTTCATCCTTCCTCAAAAATTGTAGCTGATATCATAATGACAAGTGTTCTCTTCAGTCTTCATTAAAAAGAAGAATCCAACCAAGCAGTTGCATAGTGCAGGTCAGTCAGGGTGGAGCGTGTGTGTCTCTCATTAGTGAAAAGTAAACGAGGCACAAAGATCTTCCAAGTTGCCTGCATCCTCCATGTAGCTGAGAAGAGGATTGAGTTGCTCCATATAGTACAAGATGCCAATAGTGATTGACAAGTTCAGGAAGGCCAGTCAAAGCTCATTCCTTCCTTATGCTGTGCACTGTGGTCTGATGCTTAAGATGTTTTCTTTATCAAGCATGTTTGAATCACTCTACAGTGGATTTTCTCATGCAATCACAACAGAACACTTTGTCTATGTTTGGCTATTTCCAAGCAGAATTCATTTCTTTCATTTCTCAAAAATGTCTTGATTCAGATAAACAGAAAAGGAGGCTTATATTTTGGATTTGTTTTTTGCAGTTTTTTTGTTTGCCTAATGTACTGGGGACTGTCTGGAGACTAGTGGTTAAAGCAGTTTCCTGAAAGCATTGAAGGAGGAGGGTAATAGTCTGAGAAGAGTCTATAACGTCACTCTCAAGACTGCACAAAAATAAAAACTTGTAATCTCTTATCTTTCCTTTTCAGGTTATGCAAGCACAGTTTGCTCAGGACAACAATCCAGATGCACAAACACTTCAGAAACTGGCAGAAAGAACAGGCCTGAGCAGGCGTGTTATACAGGTGATTGTGCTAAATTACTTGACTAGCAATCTGATACTCATCCATTGGGAATGCTCGATGATAAATCAACAATAGCAATGTAGTTATTGTGAGATTTAAAAAAATCTAATCTGGTGGTTTTAATATAACTTTGGACAACTTCCTTAGTCAGGAGTAGGTCTAGAACCAAAGTGCTGATTTGGATGATTTGCTGTAGTCCCCTTGTGTTTTGTGTGGAGGATTATTTATCTTCCAGGAAGAAACTTCTTAGCTTAAATAGTATATACATTGGCACTAAGCTTTTTCTAAATATAAAATTGTGATTTCAGTAGCCTGTTCTTAAGAGCTACACTCCTTGAAAATGGCTTGTGATATGTAACACAGACGTGAGGATTAAGGATCTAGTGATTTAAGTATCTAGTGGTATAGAGAGCAGAGTTGAAATATATGCCTAACCAATTCAAAACTGTGAGAAACACAAACAGATTCTTACTTTGCTTGAAGATGCCTCTCAGCAATCATTACATTCATGCTCTTTTTGCGTACAAATATTTTTACATATGATATAATTTATACATTTTGTTGTAAATAAAAAGAAACTTGCAGTTCCCTTGTCTCAACCTAGCTCAGAAGACTGACAGCGCTTCTGTAGAAGCGAGGTATCTGGTAGCTGTGATTAAGCTTTTTAAAAAGTTGAAGCTTGCTTGCTTCTCAGCATGAAAAAGTAAAACTGGTATCCTGTGAAAATCTGTTCTGCGGCCAACAGTGTTCAGGCGTAGACGGCTCTGTCCAGTTGTGTGTCTGGGGGCAGCAGTCTAAACTGTGCTGCTGGGCTGTTGTGGGTGCTGCTCCTCAGCCCAGCCAGGCACTTGCCTCAGGAACCATGCAGCCCCTCCCAGTGCCTGTTCTCTGCCTCTGCGGGCTGCTGGTTGCTGCAGAAGCTTTCCTGACTTTTCTGCATGTGCTTAAGTCACCATGCGGTCTTAGAGTGGATATTTCTTCTTTTGGACTGTCAGTGTTATGTTGAAGGCCAAATTAACTAACTGATCTGAGTTGTTTTTTTTTTTTATCAAGTTCATGTCAAAGCAGAATGCAATTGATCAACATGATGTAAATTTTTCCCCCTTTTCAGGTGTGGTTTCAAAATTGTAGAGCACGCCATAAGAAACATGTTAGTCCAAATCATTCATCTACTGCTCCTGTCACAGCAGTTCAGCCCTCCAGGCTGTCTCCACCCATGTTAGAAGAAATGGCGTACTCAGCATATGTACCCCAAGATGGGACTATGTTAACTGCTCTACATAGTTATATGGATGGTAGGTACAACAACTTTCCATATCCAAGTAAAATCATTATTGACTGTAGCGAGAACAGTTTACCAAGCATCAGTTAAAGAAGCTTACTGATTTATCATTTCTAGTATTCTTTATAGAATATCTCAATACTGTATTTGCTGTCTGTGCCTCATTAAGAAGTGTGCCACTTCTAGCAATAGTCCTTCACTGTAATAGTGCAGCTGAAAATCTGTGTGTGAAGACCACTTCTTGTACTTCCTCCAAACTGTGAATGTTAGTAATAAGAATTCAAACACTTTAAAGTATTTGTGGTGTATTTTCCCCCATATTTAATTTAAGTGAAAACTGTTCACTATCCAGCCCCCAACTCTTACCCCATGAATTGTATGTGTACTAAATCCAGCAACTGCACTGAAAAACTTCATCTTCCTTCACAGTGATGCACAGTGGGTGGGGGAGTGGAGGTGGGAGGAATCTGGTTTTCAAAAATGTTTGTGATTGTGTGGTGTTTGACCTGGCAAGTCAACTTTGTCTCCTACTTATGATTAGGAGAGACTGAAGGGTTTGGAAGCACTGGACTCTGAGCTGCATGTGTGGCCTGAGTTCATTCTTCTCAAAAACAGTGGTGTAAGGTGGGCTGTGGATGAAGGCGTGTGAACACTGGGCCCAAAGTGCGGGGTTGGTGGAAGTGTCTGTGATGCCAGCTGGTGCCTCCTGGTGTCAGACTTGGCTAGAAAAACAAAGCTTGCTTAGTTGGTTGAGGACTAGTAAACCGTTACTTACCCAGTGGGTTTCAGTAGCTAATTTACTAGCTAATAATCTTTTTCTACCTCCAATGAAGTTGACCAGTAAATCTTTCTGTCTTTGTAGCTCATTCACCTACAGCTCTTGGACTCCAGCCTTTGCTACCCCATTCAATGACACAACTGCCAATAAGTCATACCTAATTCCTTTCTGTCAGGGATATAAGCTATTAAGGATGTAATCTTAAGTCATTTATTGTATATGAAAAATATCATTGGAAAGATATTAATGTTAACTTTTTATTTAACATATAAAGCATTTTCAAGACCACTTTTGCTGCCCAGGTATGTAAGTATGTATTTAGCCTGCAAGACACTTTTATGGATTCTGCATAAATAAATATTACATTGTTTACAAGCCTTATTAAACACCTTTTTGTATTGTCTGGAAGTAGTCCACTCTAGTTATGTATTTGTTAATTTATTTGTCATCAAAAGAGCACTTTGCCTAAAAGAAAGGACTGACAATTGTGCAAAATGTTTACAATTATTTGTGAAATTGTAGTTTATCATTTTAGTTTGTATCTGTAAGTTATTGCTAAAAGTATTACCTGTATTTGAGTTGTATACAGCCTATATGTTAAAGCTTATTTCTGTGAGTTTACAAAAAATTTTGTTGCAAATATTTTCAACGTGAACTAAATAAAGTTTCTGCTGTAGCATGCTAAGCAAAAATGTTGCTGTGTTTATGGCTGCACTGTGATCATTTGTGAAGCGTTTAACTTAAATCTTCATATTTTAAGAAAAGGATGCTGGTATACTTAGGCTGCACCAGACTTCTTTCAGGTGTGTTCATCTGCCTTATCTGATTTTAAAAGTCCTTCTAATGAGTTTAAATTTGTCTTGAAACACCTCAGATAAGTACTCCTTTAATGTAAGTATACACAGCAGTGCTTCTCCTGAGGGTGAAGGTGCACACCTGCAGTGTGAGGGAAATTGTGGATATACAGGGCAGATTTTAACTGTGACTGAAGTTAGTAAGTGGAGGAACTAAATTTAAATCCGCTTTAGTATTTGATATTTGTACTAGTTCAGTTTCTGATTTTTGTCAGGGTTTCTGCCTTCCAATTTTGCTAAGCAGGAAGATTACTTAAGTATTACATATTAGTCATCTGCATTTTTAAAGTAACATCTAGTTCAGTATTTTGACTGACCTGTATCAAACTGCATGTTAATAGAAATAGGAATTCTGTCAAATACTGGAAAGTATGCTGTGTTTAACAGTTGCTGTGCTAAGTCTTAATGGAAAAGTATGTTTTGACATGCTGATTTGATGGTTAAAGGTTAGCGTATACCATGAACTGAACTGATTTTTGTCTTCACAGACTAGTTTCCTTCCAGGATTTAAGACGGGTAGATCCCATCTGCACACCTAAACTCTACTTGCATCAGAAGGAAATCATACTTTTGAAGGTGTGTGTGTGTCCTTTTTTCCTCTCCAACTGAGTTAGCATCTCTAATGTGTCAAATTTCATAACTGTTCTGGTCAAACAATTTCAATGTGTTAATAAAAGTAATATTCTCCCACCACAGGAAGATGATGGCTTTTAAGAGTATAATTTAAATGCCAAGCTTTGAATTATTCATGTTCCATAAATTAAATGTCAGCACTATTTGCAGTGCTACACACAGATGCTCAAGTTAATCTGAGTAGCAAAAGTAATCTCTTTGCACTGGCACAATGCTTTTTCTAGGCTAGTATACCCTGCCACAATGTCTCACAAACAATGCTTAAGACACAGGGTGTTGTAGAACTTGACTGACTTTACATTTTCTTCCAACGTGTCATTGAAATTCTCTGTGTGGAACATTGACCTGAATGCATCACTTTCAGTACCTAAGGTAGCCCCATATATCTGCATGATACAAAATTGTATGCATAGCAGTAGACAGAAGTTCTTGTTTTGTTGTCTGATATGTAAGGACAGGACCTTAGGGTAAGGACCTTATTGCTAAGGTTTTCAGTTAAATGTTAACTGATGCTAATTTAGTTCTTAATACAAATTGGTAATGTAAAATACTACTCAATTGTCATGTTTTTATAATGCAGCTTGACTTACACATAATCTCTTTCTTTAAAAAAAAAAAAATAATTCTAATTTGAAGGACGTAAGCAGCTTCAGGTTCCTTAAGACAAAGTAAGGACAGACCTCTTTATGAAACATCCCATTCTGTCTAGTTCCACAGTTGGAGTAGGATTAAAGTAAACAGTGAGCAATTTCCTCACTTCCAAATGAAAATAGGAAGCAGGAGATATCTTTGGCCACTGTGAAGGGATGAGCAGCTATTTATAAAGTGAGACTGGGGAAATGTGGAGTTGAAAATAGGAAGTTCCAGGAGAGGATCTGGACTTTGAGCATTGCCTTTGAGAACATAAGACCTGTGCTACTGGCCTGCCTTGAATAGGCTGCATGGAGTAGACAAGGTGTATGGAAAGCCAGGAGTCTTAGTCTGGTGCTCTCAGCTGAAGCTGTTGCTGTACCATGACTTGCAAGTTTGAATGCTTTTTCTTTTTTTCTGCTGGTTGTGTGCTCACTTGCATTTTTGATAGCATGTACTGCTGAACTCCTCTGACACTGGAGCTGTTCTTACTGCTTCCTGCTGCTTTAAAAGAATAACACACTGCTTGGCTGAGAAAATTTGTGGGATGCATTTACAGGAAAAGAATGTGGCTATTGCTGCAGCAGGAGCATAAAATAGTATGTTTAGTGTCTTTTAGGCTCAATGTATTTGACTTAAAATTGAAAAGCAATGTTGTATGAAATAAACTAATTCACAAAATAAATTGGTTTTAACATGTGACTTAGAAGTGATGTATCTTGAACAGAAAATAATGTAGAGCTGTGCTTAGTGCTCTACTTCTTGGGTTATTTTGCAGAAAAACTCATTCATCCCTCTGGTCCTAAACTGTTCAGCCTACAAGGTAGAATGGCACTTCATACAAACTACACTGAAACTTAGCAAAGAAATCCAAAATGGAACTAATGATGTAAAATGTCTTCTGCACCTAGAGGTTCTCAAATGAAAAAATGTCACTAACAAAATCAAAGCTCTGTCTTGAAAGTACTGAGAAGACTGGCTATCAACTTCCAGTCCTCTTTCCCTTTCTTCCCTCACCTATATAGCCAATACGTTCTTGGGGATGGCTCGTGTATTACTGTGTGTCAGGACAAGTAACTGTAACTACACTGCAAAATACAACTTAAAATTCATTATATTCAACCTGTTGTGGGAAGAGGGGAAAATACAGATGAAAAAATCTATGCAGTACAAGTTTCATAAGATCTGTAAAGGACATCTGCTATTAGAATTTAGTAGTTCAGTTTGCAGGGTACAGAAGCAGGATATAGAAATATCTATTGCACTAGAATCTTCAAGATCCTTCAGAGATATTTCAAACTTAGTATTTAAATACTGGGATATAAATCCTTTGAAACTGTCTACTCAGTGGAAGTATGTTTTTTTCATAACACAGACAAATCTGAGAAGTTCTTGGATATTTTCTAGTCTACATTTCAGTCCAATGAACAAATACTGGTCATAGAGAAGTTAGTCTAAACTGTTGTTAAATGTCTCCAATGTTAACATTTTTTACAGAACCATCAGGAAATCTGGCACTTAAAATTAATAAAAAAAATATATATTTTTCTCTACCAAGCAAGTCTGATTCATTGAGTTTTCCATACTAAGTTGCATATGTGAATTGTCTAATTGTTTCTGTTCTGGTTTTGTCCATCTTCTTGAAGCACAGCTCAGTTTTAGCAAAGCCCTTAATGGTGCTCAGCAGGAAGATTAGGGCATATAAATTGCTCATTGCTATGTGTTCCGGGATGATGACTGCTTTTCTTCTAATAGCACTACACTGCACATTCTATTTGTGACCAGCTCTTATTTTGTCTCCTGTTTACAATTCTCCATAGATTATTGCAGCCTAGGTAAACAGCTTATATTTTGCCATACTGAATTTCACCCCACTTCTTTATTACTATTTCTCTAAATTGTCAATCATTCTGAATCACAGTTCTGCATTCCCCAGTATTGCTTGTTTTGTGTTGTCAGAAAATTCACTAAATCTATTTATACTGTCATCCAAATAATTAACTAAATTACTGACTGGAGCCTGATTCTTCTGTAATTCCATTTTTTAAATAGGAGAAGGTATCATTTGAGTTGCTTGCAGCTACTTTCAAACTTTTCTACCCAAGGTTATTTCTATATCTTGCCTGTGTCAGAATGTGACATGTACAGCATCTTGATCACCCATACAGCTGTTACCCTTGCCAAAAGGACTCTGGGTCGACTTGATAGTCTTGCTGTTTGTATTGTTGATTCTGTCAGTCTGGTTAAGATTTTCTAATTCTCAAATAAAATAATTAGACTGAAACTAAACTATGTTGTTGAATTCCCTGGCTTTCTTCTGCCCATTCCCTAAGATCTAAGCGCTGAGTGTCTCTTAAAAATGAGCTAGTAATTTGTAAATGTTTCTGTCTAGTTCTACAGTCCCAGGATGAAGTGCAGCAGGTCCAGTCTACCCAAAAACATTTAGAGTGAAACTTCAAGAGAGTTTTTGTTGACATTGGCCCTAACTTGTTCACAGACTATTTTTTTTGGTCAAAGCTGATGCAGTAGAAGGTCTAGCATGCCATTCCTGTATTCACTGACAGAAGTTTTAACTCAGAGCAACCAGTCAACACCAGCTTTACTCTTGCTTTATTAATAAAAGTACAAATACTGTTTTCTTTACCCTTGATGACATTTGCTAGTGCTTTTTTGTCTCATTGTCCAGAAGTTCACGCTGTTTTATATATTTGCATTATGGTAACCATCACCTGTTTTTCTGTATTCCTTCTGCGTTGAAGAGTTGCCTAAAGTCTAGGCAAATTGATCTTCTTACACTTCTACCTTTATTTATTAATTTTCTGCATGTGTGGGTAACTTATTAATAGTTGTCACTTATCAATAATTGTCCTTTCTGAAGTTACTGATGATTCCTGTATGTTCTCCACTGTCTAGGACATTTTACAGCTCAATTCTGGATTTGTGGTGTGCCTTTTTGACCCCTTGTGTTTATCTTGCAACCCATTGCTCCTTAGGACACACACAGTGATTTTATAAGTATGGATAGTCAAATGGGTGTTTGAGGGATAACATTGTTGTGGTTTCCAGAAATACTTTGTAGGCATCTGTACTTTTGTCTCCCTCTTCCTTCTCTTTTTTTTTTTTTAACTTGCATCACATTTAGTCTTATTACTGACTCAAAAGCCAGAACAGTCTGACAGATGAATTTGATTCTATCCTTAATTCAAATGACAGCTGTTCATTATGTCTTTTGTATAAGTGCATATGTAGCCTGCTGTAACAATTGAGGTGATCTTTTCCATTCTTTGCTGCAGTAGTGGCGCTGAGTAACAACCTAGAAATGCTTCTAGTTGCACCGTAGGCTGGTGCAGAGCAAGAATGTGGCCTGCTGCCTGCTGCCTTAGCACTGACAGCCTCTGCTAAAGGGTTGTGTTATTCCACACTGCTGATTTTCAAACACAGTTCTCATTACGGTAGTGTACACTTAAACTCTAAATATCCAGCTGTTTCATATGAACTTCCTGGGCAACTAATTGGGAATAATCTGTGCACCTGCACCAGAAATATCTTACAAGTTCAAAAAATTAACATAAAGA